GGCTGAAGCGCTAACGCTGGCAGCCCGACGGCCTTTTGAGAGCGCCCGCCTCGTGTCTCTTGTAGATTCACCCAACCGGGAAGCTCTTCGTACTGTCTGATGGGAAAGGAAAACACACGACGGTGGAGCTGAGCGACCCTGTAAGTTAAGGAATGCTTTGGAAATACTTGATGTTGCCTCTTGTGGATACGGGAGGTTCTGTCCCTTCTGAAACCTGTGCATGCCTTAACGTGTATTGAGTTTTAGTCAGGAAAAAGAAATAATCCCTGGTTTCTCCCTTTTCCACCTGTTTCATTGCCTCTGTTTCTTACATCTTCCAGCTTCCATGCAGTCTTCATGTCAGGAACCGCCTTGGTCTTCACCGATTTTTGGCTGATGTTAAGAGCGAGAGCTCATTCCTTGTCAGACACATCCCTGTCTGCTAATTTGTCTTACTCTATTCATTGTTTACAGTGTCATATATGCCACTATATGTATTAGCCTTATTTTAATTTTGCTTTTTCCTCCCTTTTTCTTATTGCCTTTATATGCCTAACAGTATTTTGTGAAGACAATCAAAAAAAACCCCAAGAATATGGTATTCTCATGAGTACTTTGAGTTCACGTTTCTATATGCTTTTATAACATTTGCCACAGCATTCTGGTAAACTTTGTAGTTAGCTTGAAGCATTCTTAGTGTAGTGGGTATGCTAGCAAGTACTGCAGAAAAATACTGCTTCCTTTGTTACCACATACCACTCACTAGCGAATAACACCCTGTATTCTATTCTGTCTTTAAGTATTTTTTTGTCCCTGTAGCAAACGTTGTAATTAAAGGATTCTTTTCATTGTGATGGCAAATGCTTTAACTGAGCATGTGTGTGGTTGTTACGTAGTTTTCTCTGAATGAGTTGTTAAAGGCTGAGAAATCTTGCCATTCCCATGTGAAATAATTGCATATGGTACACTCCAACTTTCAAGATGGGAGGCTTTCCTTATTGATTAAAAATGCACTTTGATCTGGCAAAGTTTTGTCTTACAAATGTGAAGCTTGCTGACTTTATCTTCAAAGAAATTGTCTTTCCTAGAAGTTCTGCCTGTCTCTTAACTCTTTCTTGAGTTTGTGAAAAGGTTTCCTGCCTTGGGTTGTTGAAACTTCAGATGTCAGCATCTGACCAACAGTTCCACAACAGTTCATAACAGAGCAAATGGTTGAATTTCATAGATGCATAGCTGCAGCATTGGGCACTTCATAGTGTGCTCCGCTGCTGTGGGAGAAACTGCTGTGTGCAGAAAAACACACCAGGTTCATCTCTCTGGTGTGTCTAATATCAGTGAAGGGACTTCTAGGTTTGCTAACCAAAATGCTTTCTAACTTTTTTTCCCTTTAATTGATGCCTTTGTTTGTATGTATGTGTATTTCCTCCTTTCAACAGAGAAATCCAAAATTATGGGGAGGAGAGATAAGCTATTGCTGGGTACCAGGAGATTTGCTAGAAAGCTAAAAGTAAGAGTTAGATATTGGAAGAACATTACTGAAATAGTACCACATTCTTAAAATTGGTATCTTAAAAAAGAAAGAAAATATCTTCAAGCTATATGGTTTTGGAACAAGGTTAAAGTTTTAGCTGTTTTGGGTTTGGTTTTTTTTTTTCCTTTATTTTCCTTGTTCAACCAAAAGCTTGTATTGTTGATGTCTTTGTATTCTGAACACTCACTGACCGATTACTTCAGACATAATTTCCCATTATACCTCCTGAATCTGGAATACTGGAACTGCTCTCTGGAGTGTATGATGCCTCCTTAGGTCTTACGGAGTTCTATAATTTTCTCAGGATTAAGTTCAGGGCATTAAAATCTGTGTTCTTCTGCTATCTTCTTCAGTCTCTGTTCAGTGATCAAATGATACAATTTTATATGCTTATAAACTGTTATTTTCTCTCTGATGCTTTGTATATTTTTTTTGTGTGTCAGTACTGAATTGGCTGTTGCAAACGCTAAATCTGTAAGTGGTTCAAGGCTTTTGTGTTGTTTTGGGTTTTTTTTTTTTTGGGAGAGGGACGTGGCTGTTCAGTAGTACTGTATTGTTTGATAGGGAACAGAATCTGTCATGAATAGTCAGTCAGTTGTGGAGAGTTCCTAGCTTAAGTGCTGGGCAGTAAAGGCAGCAGCTAATTTAGTAATACTAATTTTATATTTGGTGTGTTTTCTAGCTAGATGAGGAGATCTCAGGAGTTATTGAAGTCGTTGGAAGAGTAACAAATCAAGCAACCATCATGTGCATGTCGTATGTCCAGTTCAGAGAAGATAAAAGTCCATTTGGTAAGTTAAGAATATACATTATGACATTCATTTTGAGTTCATATTGAGTTCTTCAGTAAGTAATTAAGACAGGCTGAGAGAGTTCGGCGTGTTCAGCCTGGAGAAGAGAATGCTCAGGGAGACCTGATAGCAGCCTTCCAGTACCTTAAAGGGAGCCTACAAGAAAGCTGAAGAAGGACTTTTTACAAGGGCATGTAGTGACAGGACAAGGGGGAATGGATTTAAACTGAAAGAGGGCAGATTTAGATAAGACATTAGGAAGAAATTCTTCCCTGTGAGGGAAGCAGCGTTCAAGGCCAGGCTGGATGGGGCTTTGAGCAACCTGGTCTAGTGGAAGGTGTCCCTGCCCATGGCAGGGGGTTGGAACTAGATGAGCTTTAAGGTCCCTTCCAACTCAAACCGTTCCATGATTCTATAATAAGTAAAAAGGGAGACCTTGATTTTCTTTGCTTATGGACAAGATCTTTCTTCAATCTACCACATATGCAGTAAAATGTAGAAAAGTTGAGTGTCATAGGAAAAAATCCTGTACAAAATACACCATTTTACTGTCAAACTGTAGGGACTGACTTGAAGTTGGAGCCAGCCTAGATCATTCTGATCATTTTCCCACTCCTGACCACATGGTTCTTGCCTTGCACTGGGCCTTGTGTGATTGTACAGCTTGCAGGCCTAAAAATAACCTTCCAGAAAGCAACCAATGGGAGGGTTGCTGCCTTGGAGAAAAGTGGGGGGATGAGGGGCTCTGGGAACACTCAGCTATACTGTTTTGAAATAAGCAGGGCTTTAATGCTGTCATTTGCTTGTGGGGAATTTAACTTGTGCATGACAGCCATTTTCTTTGCCCTCTTTCAGATCTGGAACTATATGATGAAGCACTAAAAATTATTCATGAATTCCCTGAATACTTCCCATTTGGCACTGGGAGGAACACTTGATTTTCTTTGCATACATTGACAGCATGGTAACAGTTGCATTTATTTCCGTCTGATTCACTGAAAAGATGCTGTTACATGTGTCATGTATTGCCACTGAAGAATGATTTCTTTGCAAATGTATTTATTCAGCAAGGAGAACTTCTGTGGCTGTCTCACTGTCTGTATATATTTAACCCTTTTGCATCCATGAGGGGTGTTCTCTTGCAGGATTGGTCTTGCTAGAAACTGAACTTTTGTAAGCATCTTTTTGTTGTTGGTAGAGGTTCCTTTTTTACAGGAAGCTTGTACTGAGGGCACGTGGTGGGGTTTGAATGTAAAGATTTTTTTTAATCTCATTTGCTTTGATAGAAATCTATTTTGCATCTTGAAAATGATCTCCAATAAAAAAGTGGGTTCTCCCAGTGATATGTTGGTGACTCCTGTTCTATTTTAGCTGACACGGGTAATTTTAAAAAGTGGAGTACAAGGTACTTACTCTTGCTCTGATGTTAAATACTTGGAAGATGTCTAGGCTTGGGGATTGCAAGTGCAGTTGACTTCCCATCACGACCTTTGTTCTTGGTGGGAGTCCAAGTGATGACTTTAACCACATAAACTTCTACACAGGTCCCAATTTTGTTACTATCCAGGCTACTTACAGCACATAGCAGAATTCTTACGGCTTTCAAGGTAACACAAAGAAAAATCTAACTTTGGAAATACTCTCTGTGAATTACTAAAGTATTTTAATGTAGTTTAACTAAACCTTTCATACAAACAGGTTTCAGGTTTTAGTAGCTAGTTAGTGCCTTATGCAGATGCCTGGCTTTGTGCTTATTTATAGACATCTGTGTTTTCAGTCAAGGAACTTATGTTTCAAAGATTACTTATTAAAGTTACTACAAACTGGGGGGATGATCAAGATAACAGATGACCTATTTTTTAACCCCTCTCTACTCAGAAGACAGACAATGACAAAATTACTGCCACTGGGAAGGAAACCTGAGTCAGTCTTGTACAGCAAACAAGAACATGAGGTTAGCGTGGCATGAAGCCATGCTCCGTCCTGTAACACTACTACCACTATATTTTAGTGCTCAGTAGAAAAAAATGTCATTCTTAATAACTGCGTGCGTATTTTCCTAGCATTTGTCTTTTGTATGATTATACTTTAGAAAACTGGTATTTGTGCTTGTACATACATTACGTAAGATGTTACATGCAGTTAGTAAGCCAAGACCATCCAGGCCTGATAAAGCAGTCTACCACTAGATGGCTATAGCACTTTACCCCCACACCGAGACCATCCTTGGATGTGCGGGCCTGCGTGTAAATGTTTTAATACATCCGAGTGGGAAATGCTTCAGTTTCTCTTTGTTGGTCAAGACTCTTGCTTACACAGTCCTGCAGCAATGATATGTGGCTAGGCAAGCAGTGTACAACTCCCAGTTTCCACTACATGCTCTTCATTCATCTGCTTCTCTACAGCCTATCAAGGGTTGTGAATAAATAGCTTACCTTGGCTATATGGCTGTACCAGTAAGACAGCAATGCAGGAACTGTGAAATATTCTTGATGGTAAAGTAATGCTCAGGTCACATAAGCATTTATCAGGGTTGCAGTGTGGGAAATCGCCAGTCATTCCAGGTACTCAAAGAAAAGCAATAGCCATAGAGCCTGCTGTCTGATAGGATGGCACTAACAAGGTGAAGGTGTGAGAAACTGCCAGACCTGGTAGATAATAAAATGGGAAATAATGGCTTCATGTGTCACTGACCAGAGCAATTCTGTCATACACACCAAAGAAAGAGATGTGTCACCAAAAGCATGGTAGCAGAAGGGCCAGTAACAGAAGGTGTGAATGGGAGCCAGCAGTTGCTCTGGGAAGATGTGGGTGTGGTAAAGAATGGGCATCTGGGAGAGGAGAGTATATGAAAGATGTAACAGAGCTGACTGGGAGAAGTTCCTGTCAGTTAGAGCAGAGCAGTGAGCCTGCAGCTCCCACACTTGTGACTGACTTTGGGGACCTAGCTTTTTTTTCCTGCCCTTGCCACGGGGCTGTTTGGAGCAGCCTTCCTAACCTTGGCATGGGGGATGCTGCCACATTCCTTTTTCCTGTAACATCTGGCATAGGTGGCCATAAGTGCAATTAGAAAACACAGATGTGGTATAGAAGGGGTGTCTGCCAGAGGACAAAAATTCCCTTCTTGTGGGGGTCCCCAGGGGAGGGCACCAGAATGCAGCAGTGCAGTGAAGCACCACACAGGAAGCTCTAGGACCGCACACAGGTCAGGAGAAACCTCATCTGGAGTGTCACTGCATACGTGCCCAGGACTGCTCCACTGCCCTTGCTCAGGCACGGACACATGTACAACTCATGTTGTGCTCACATGCAAGCATCCTTTGCATACAATGAGGAAGTGCTTATGCTTAATCAGGGAAGGGAAGCAAGGCTGGAGCATATAATGAAATTAAAATAAAGAAATGTAACCAGCATGAACCATAGTGTCAAACCATGTTAGCATGCAAGGCCACTTTCACCTAGTTAACTCTGAGATTTAAGCAAGTATCAGAAAACAGTAAAAATGTAAAAGTAACTAATGAGATGGCTGTAGCTATTGTTTTTGTTAGAAGACAACAGATCACCCCCAAAATCACAGCTTTATTAATGTAAAAGCAAAACCAGAAAAAAACCCTAATAATTAAAAACATACACCATTTACTTTGTAAATAGTGGAATTACTTGTCTGAGACCCAATTACAACAGCCAAACCTGACAGTTATGCTGTGCTAGAATACGGACACATTGATAATCCAAAACATTTCAAAGACATGCCAAGTATCAAAGTAAGCACCTAGTTTAATGAAATTATAGAATTTGAAACAAACAGGTATAGTCAACTTGGAAACATTACAAATGAGTTTTCTTTACAGAAGAAAATGAGACAATGTTAATAGTTGTATTCACCTGGACATGGAAATATCAGGAAAAGTTACTAAATGTTGTTCCTACAGAGGAATAAAAACATATCCTTGACACTTGCAAACACTCATTTACATAAAGCAAACGTTTTATTGCCTGTATTTATACAAATAGGGTATCATACAGTAAACCCCGGGTTACATTTATAAATGGAGAACATTTTGAAGAGCTCTTCAACAGCAACATGAAGTGTGCAAAAATAATGGAAAGAGAAATAAATATTCTAACAAGAAAAAAAGTAACTGCTCTCCCATGCCTACAAATACCAAGTACCTCTTAGATTTTAACTTAAAGATCTTTGTCACTTAGGCAACAATTTTAGATCAGAATAAATGTAGCAGATGTACTGCAACATTAGCACTAAACCAGAAAATGCAACCCAAAGCCCTGAATGGAATCATGTATATCTACAGAAAATGCTTCCACGTTCTATCTTGTTGCAACTACACTAGAGCACTTCAAACTAGTGGTATATTACAATATATTCTCTTTTAAAACACCCATTTTCACAGTCCTGGCAATACAGTACCAGATTATTGCTAGCATTCCATTTAATATTTCATAGCACACAAGTGTTAAGTAACTCATATACTGTTTCTACCAGTAAATAAACACACACCAAGTAAACTGATGTTATTATCACATACCTTAAAACAGGTTTTTTTCCCTAATTTGTGTGAATTTTGTTGCCTGTAAAATCAAGGACAACAATACCGATCGGCTCCTAGCACAGTATTAGCAAAATAGCATTGCCTCTCAAGTTAATAAATAACCCTAATTCCAGCTGGTAACATCTAGAACTACTTCAGTTCAATGACCCAAAATTGTGCAGCCTTTAGGGAGCAGACTGGTGTCCGCTAGTGACCAGAGGCAGGATTTATATAGGTGCATTTCACACTTCCCAGGATTTCAGAAGTACTGGGAAATGCTGACTATTCAAAAGTCTTCAAATATGTTTGTAGGCAAATTTCAGCATGTAGTTTGAAACTTAAATATTTACAAGTCTCCAGTCCTTGAGATTTCAGATCTTCACAGTACTGCATTAAAAATGAATCAAATGAAACCTCCCATAGTTTACCTGCACTTGCACTGAAACAGACACATCACTTTTCAATGAACTCTTCCCTAGGACAGACATCACTAGGAGACAAACCCCAATTCTTTAGCATTAAAATTCACATCAGCTAGGTATGTAGGTAAATTAAATAAAACCTTGAACTGCAAACATGCTGCTTTACTATTAACAAAACGTGGGAGCAGAAAGAAATAGATTTCTCTTTAAAATAAGTCTTTAGAATACAATTAACAGTGGCACTTTGAAAGAACTTTCAGGGAAACTATCATTTGCATATAATAAAGTGTGATCAAACAATGAAGAGTCACTTTGCATCTTCTGAAGAACACTTCTGAGGTGTTTATTTTGAAGGCCCACTTTCACAGCATATAAACACTGTTTTGTTTGGAAAACAAATACAAGGGCCGATCAGCACTACCCTGAAAATCTTTTTATTAAAAGTTCTCTCGATTTCAGGAAATCCAAAGAGTCCACGATTCCAGGAGTGCTTTTGAACTGAACTGCTTCAATCCTCTGAACAAGGACCACATACTACACCCAGAGGCTCATTTCAGGAATACCTGTCTCTACCAAGGACAGTCATACACACAGCATTTTACTAACCCAATAGCAATTTATTTTTTCACAGTTAGTAAGTGACCTTTGTCATAAAATATATGCTTGGGCTATGATGGAGATCCACAAGAAAGCCTCACATTTTCAAGCAATATTTATGCCTGCACAGTCTCTGCTGGAATGAGATTCCCTGTTGTATCCAGCTGCATACACTTACAAGAGCAGGCAGAAACTGGGCACTCGGTATGGTCCCTAGATAGCAATAGTAGAAAAAAGAAAAAACAGGTAAAATAAAACTAACAATAATTTTGTAATCTATGCAATTAAGTATGTGCAGGGACACACACTTAATTGCAGCTCAGAAAAACTCAGCATCATAGTGAAGTTTTGCATATGTTCTAAACCAACAAAACATGATAATGATAGACGCAGCAAAGGAGGTTTGTCTTGCTCAGTGCAGCATACACATGTGAAGGAAGATTTTAACGTCAGCTTACCTGAACCAGCTAAGCATGTGCCCAGCATGTCCACCATGCCTACAGTTGTGACACCAAGTAAACCAGTTGTTGAACTGGGCTAATTTCTTGTCTTTGCTGAGATCCACTTTTTCATCTGACTTGGATCCTCCTGTGCAGAAGCAAACCCACCCCCCCCAAACATGCTTGTGAATCATTATGCTTCATTTACGTTTCAGTCCCTGTAACACTATTAGAATAAATCTGAAATTAGCAACATTATGTGAAGAAGCGACCTGAAAAGAGCTAGAGAATTCAGTAAAAGTCAGTAAAGTTAAGACCTGTTGGAATGCCAAAAAAAGAATTACATTGCCGAGCTGTTGTTTCACATCTTACAGGCATGCTAAACTTGCCTATTGAACAAATTTTACAGACAGAATCTCTTTCAACAGTGATTTATGTTCCAGTGATTATGTTCCACTGGATTATGGGCCTGTTTCACTGCACATGAAACGTTTACTTTAGATAAATCAACAAAATCCAAGTTACGAATTGGACCAATGACAATATAGAAGTCATAACAGATCAGTGAAGGAACAAGAAGGAATACATAAATAAATGACAACTGCACAGAATCTCATGGCTCTGTAACAAATATGAACAAAATCAGTTCCATTTACACCTTGTATAATGTTGAGGCCAAGACATTTGGAACCAAAAGATTCTTTCTAGACATAATATTTCTTAGCTGTGACAGCATGATCCATACGTTCTTTCATAGTGACAGAAAGTATACCACATTAAATTTATCCTCTCTTCCAGCTAAAAGTCAATTCATTTACATTCCGTAATTTCTGTAGTATCCCTACATCTCAAGAAAACATACTTCCCATTTCTTACAGTTCCGAAGCTCACAATACCACCACAATATGACCACCACAATACCTGCATCTTTTCTTCTGTCTAACCGTGGAATTTCACTGACAGTCTCACTGGGAAAACTGTCAGAACCCAGTAACTGTGCATACTGTCTGACACCAAAGAACTGAGACATAGGTTTCATCACAAAATCAGACAGGATGTAAACAAGTTTTCAATTATGGTCTTCCTCCCTCAAATGAATATTTACAGAATGAATACAGATAGAAAGAAAAAAGTGCAACAGAAGATCTTCCAATGGGAACTGCCAATTAGGCCTCTAACAAGTACTCCAGCTTATTAACTAAAATCCACTGACTCATACCTGGACAGCTGGAAACTGGTGTTCCCATATTTATCAAGCAAAGTGCACAGCGAGGAAGGGGTTTACGGCAACCAGGACAGCTTGTAACTTTTGACTTTGTTGGTGAACCACTAACTCCGTATTGGCTGAAACCCCGTCCCTGATGAGGAATAGCTGAACAGCTGTAAGAGATTGATTTTCCACAGAAATTGCAACTCACGAACACCTAAAGAGAACAAAAACCCATTAATTTTTTTGTTTGGTTCCACTTTTGCTATACCTATGAGTGAATTCGTTCAAGCTAGCCAACACTTATTTACCAGATATTCTAGAGAGTGGCCTGGAAAGCCAAGGCGACTTGTGAAGGAGTCCCTAACATCTTGGCCTATAGATGTGCCACACAGTTCTGAGAAGTAGGCCTTAATGATGTTCACTTACCCAAAAGCACACGAAAACATGCAGAATTATGACAACCTGGAAAGGTACTAGTTAAGATAATAAAAAGCTGTTATCTACAGTAATGAAAGAAACTAAGTTTACTCTAATTACTGCTTAATTAAATCTGGTCTCTCCCCCATAATAGTCAGGTGACCCACTCTATGACCAGTCTCCAACATGAGGAATTTCCTAATAATCTTTCTCTGCATACCTTATGCCACAAGTTGTGACTTAATACCAAGCAGCATGTTTTAAACTCTTTAGGGTCTACTTATGTTGATCACATAAGGAAGGAGCAGTAAACTCTATTCCCTCCTGGTTGGAGCAGCAGGTATTCAGCTCTCCTTAAACAGCTGCGATGGACACATGAATTCAAAAATAGCCTTCCTGAGAAACCCTTGCGCCCTCAGACATGACAGAGCAGAAGGTGCTGTGGTAAGAGCATGTTGGCTAAAAATGCCGCCGGACGTTAAGTAGATAGCATTTGGACAGGGCGTTAGTTTTCAGTTTAGCTCATGTTCAGAACTGATAACGAAAGTTGCTGCTGTTCACTTTTGGTTTAGGGTTCAAGAGCTTCAAAATAGCTTTGAGGTTCACTTCAATTAAAACAGAGCCAATTTACACTAGTTCTTGATTCAATTCCCTGGTTTCAACACCATCCTCACCCTGTTGCTGAATTCAGCTGGGTGAATCATCTCTGACTTTGTTTTTAAACATGGGAGGGAAAAAAAAAACAGAGCTTTCTCAGAAAAAAAAGTCTTAAAAAGTTTCAGTTTCCGAAAGACAATTTGTTACTTGGAAGAAAAAGGTCTAAAGGAAAGAAAAAGGGAGGAACTGATTTCCTAGACTAGATATGAATAAACATAGATTTTTTTACTGTATTTCTGCACTCTCTGTCAAAATAGTTATCAAGTCTTTAAAAAAAAATAAAAAAATTGGGGGGGGGAACCCCAACCAAACAGAAAACCCCAAGCCACAGCTCAGCTACTTGTTTAGGGCAGCCTTAGTTGAAATCTTTCTTTTGCACATGAATCCTCATGAAAGCCAACATGCAGCCAGCAACTTTTTCTACAGAAGTACCAGGCTGCCTTCCTTTCTAGACTGGTCATACTTCACACAAGAATTATATTTACCTGGGCTAAAGGTTTTGAACTGGGATCCAGCTTACTCCTATGGATATCAAATTCTGCACGTTTATGCCAAAATCTCCAAGCATCTAAAAGATTCCTGTAGTTCTCAATCCAGTACTGAACCCTCTCATCCTTAAGTACTTCTGACGGAGAACCCTAAAGCAGGCAGAGAAAAACGTCAGACACACTGAAGATACAAAATACATATTATTCACTTTTGAAAAAGGCTTTACAAAGTGATTTACAAAGCTTTACTACAAGATACATGAAATAATACAGTGTAATTTGTCTAGAAAAAGATTAATTCTCTGTTAAACTGTAACACAAGTTTAATATTTTTTTCTCCAGTCTGCCTCTGGTTGAAAGTACTTGTGCTGCCAGGCCCTCCTAAACACTTGTGTCTGCCAAATGAAGCATTACAAAATTCTGTCACATATATGCAGTTAAACAGTGTTGGCATTAGCTGCAACTGTAAGGACCAAGACAAGTCCATCATTAAAAAAACCAAACCCAATGCCTACAGACAAACAAAAAGATTCACCTCAGTTCTCTGTCAAAATCCTGGAAGCAAAAAAAAAACTTAACAAACCTCTCTGGAAATACACCAGCAATAAGCATGGGAATGGGTATCCCCAGTTCAGCTAGTGAAAACGGCTACGTTTTCTTTTGCCTCTTTCCCTTACTATCTCCTCAGGCTATCTCAACCAGACAGAGTGAAGGTACATATTCATAGTTAACACCGATTGTTTCAAATGATTTCACAAAAAAAACTTGATATATATTGTCCCAAGATGCAGTACTATACTGCTAAAGAAACTATGTTTAATTCTCCTCTATGAAGATCTGAGTGAAACACTAACCTGTAGCATGCAATAGCTTGCTGTCTGGACATCTCCAGTTCTGTCAACATAACTTTCCATCAAGTCAACTCCATCTTTTGTCAGCCCTGTTAACAGTATTCCCTCCAAATTCCCAGCATCCTTCATTTCATTCGTCAGCTTTTCAATAAACCTGTTCAGCTATAAAACAGAAAACTTACTTAACTTTTGCCATCTATTCAGCCTTCCCTAACTCCTTTCGTAACTTTTGTCATATGTTGGCATTTTCATGATTTGAATAGATTTCTTTAAGAGTGTCAGCTGCCAACAGACCATGTTGCTTGCTGGATGTTACACAGAAAAAGTTATATGGCTTTATCCACTATATTGCAATAATTCAAGTATTTATCAACAAATTAAACCTCCTGATAGGAAGAGCAAAGAGGGAGGTTACGTATTTAAATACTTCAGTGAATTTAAAAGAAAACATTCCAAAATGAAGCCAAGCCTTAATTAGAATGTAAACATCTGGAAATAAATACTGAGTAAGTACAAATACTCTCAAGAAAAACAGACATAAAGGTAATGCAACAGCATTTAACAAACTAGCATGTCATTAATACTAATAAAAAACCCAAACAAGCAAGAAAAACAACAACAAAAATCAAGCTGAAGGTACAAACTGAAGACCAGATTATAACCTATTGCAATGAGACAAATCATGCATGACTCATTGCTTCCACTGTTCACCCCTCCACCACAGAGTTTCTTCTGCTTCTAAATAAAGCCAAGCCTAACAGTTTGCTTAAATGTGCAACCACAAACCTACCTGAGCATCACTGAGGAACTTGCAAGCAAATGCCACTCTGTCTCGTACAGCTACATTATTCTCATACTTTGGAGAGAAACACAGAAATACTACATCACACGCAAGTTTCCACCTTGTCAATACATTGTTTGTAAAAGTCAGAACATTTGCTAATACTATGAAATTCATTATGGACAAAGAAAAGCACACATCTGAAGAAAGCAAACACTAAGAATGACATTAATCATTGATACTCGGATACAGGTATCAGTGCAAGACTAGCGACAGGAATAATCTGCTCAAATGGCAGGAAAACCTGGTACAACACATCCTATGACATTAATGAAACTCTAAAAAAAGAAAATTTGCAGGTCATGTAGAGCTCGACTTCGAGCTTCTAGCACATATAGCTAGCACATATACCAAGTCACAGGGGGAAGGAAAACAAAGAAACCTTCATTTACCATATTTACAAAATAACTAGCCTAACCACGAATTCCTTTTGAAAAATCACAACTAAAAGTTATTAAACAAACAAACAAAAACCAAACAAAAACCCACCAAACCCAAACAACTAAAAACTAATTCCAAACACCCAGAACATGGATTTCTCACAAGAATACTGGCACTCAAGGTGCAGAAATGCAATAATATTTACTTTCTGCTTTTTAATCCTTTTACTAGAAGTGACACTGAAGGGGAAAAAAAGAAATCCTTGACTACATAAAATTCTGGTACTTCACTGTGCCTGTATTTTCCCTCCTGATGTTCTCAGAAAAGAAACTGATTGACACTGCCAAAACAAGGAGATGTGCTTGCCAAAATCTTTTTTATGCAAACTTCAACAGGTCTCACTGATGTAAAAAAAAAAAAAACACCAACCAAAAAAACAATACACCACCAAAAACCAAACAAACAGAGAAACAACTCAGCTTGTAATCTGTCACTTTGCAAGTCATCAATTAAAAAACCTGTAAAATTATTACCTAAAATCCAGAGAACCAGAACATTCTCTCTTGAAGAGGAAAAAAACCTCAAGTTTCTATCCTTTGCATTTCTTAACCTTTTTTTTTTTTTTAATACCCTAAAAGCATGTCATATGACAACTTTGATTTCAGCAGGTTTAGGCCAATTACCCTGCTGCATTACAGGAGTCCTTCCTTGAGCTAAATAATTCCTATGGAATCCGGTATTTCTGTTGTTCTTTAACCAAGGATCAAGTATGTTACTCCTCCAAGGGCTCAAAGTATCTCTTAATTAAAGATTTGTTCTTCACATGGCAATTTTATACCAAGTTCAGAAGATGTGAAACTATTCTGTTTACTGTTTCAACACAGTGAAATTATTTTAAGAAGCAAACAAGGAAAAATACAATCTGAGGCATATACAGCTTAATCAAAGTTCTGCAAAATCCCCTGTACTTACTCAGTTTTGTGCATTTCCATTATTAACCTCCCTTCCCCTTTTCCCCCTGCTTAAATTATTTTGATAATCTATTTCTAGTAGTTCAATAAATCCATACTAAAAACTGCTTATGCATGTTTTGTTCACTAATATGGCTGTTTAGCAGGAAAAAAATGTTATCCAACAGTGTCAGGGGAAACTAATACACTCTAATTAATTAATTAATCGAGTATAAAGCACTTCCCCTACATATATGTGCACATACACACACACACATACGTACATAGGCACCTATTAGTCAAAGCGTTTTTAACAAACAGAAATTTACTCACCAAAACACCATCATAGCAACCAGACTCACTTGTCAGGAAAGCAAACATAGCACACAAGTAGGGATTGTTCAGTTGCAGTCTTAAAGTACTGCACATTTCTCTCCAAAGTGAGTTCTTCTCATCCGTGTAGCCTGATAGAGCCATTGCCACTACATTAAGGTTCAAATCACCTGATTTATTAAAAACAAATAGTGAAACAATATTCAAGTTAAGGACTTAAAAAAAAAAATACAATTAAAACTGTAATTGAAGGCATCAGTTTGAAATAGAACAATCTGTCAGGATGCCAGAATGTAGTAGAACTAAGACAAAATGTAATGGACAAACTAAAACAAAACATGTAGAACTAACGAAAATAAATGTGCATACACTATAATTTATTAGTGTCTGCTTTAAATGCCTTTCTTCAGGTAAGGTAACAGCTCTAAAAGACACAAGCCCACATGCATGACCTCCTGAGTTATATTTTAAGCAACAACACTCTGGTTCTGGCATTTTGAAATAGTTCTGAACTGCTAAATTTGTTAGTATCACTATCGTAAGATTGTCATTACCATAATTCATACTCACAAGCAGTGAAAAGACAGGATTGTATATGTAGCCATCACTTAACAGACATAGCTGAAGGATGACAATTGCATACAGCAGCTTCAAGTTAACAAGTTTCCTTAAAACATCAAGTCTATTTCATCTAGATATTAATCCTGCCATAAAGTTTAATTTCGTTTTTTTAATTAAAAGACAGTGTGTCTCTACTTTGACCTTTCCCCACAAAAAGCACACACTTCCCCCACCAAAAAGGGGTAATATCAAAAATAAAAGAACCTTAACAGTTCCCTTCATGTCTCGCCTATCCACCTCAGTGGCAAGACAGTCTTTTAAATTTAATGAGAACAAAGATGCAAACCGGAGTTGTAGGAGGAATCCTGGCAAGAAAACAGAACAAAAATACCTCCATCTCCTGGCTCCATTATCTTAACTTTTCCCTCATACATTGCAACTCTTACCAAATATTACTCAAAATCAAATGTTTTCTGCATAGCCTGAGTATTATATTTCAGTTTTTCCACAGCTGTTGTACGAGCAGAAAGTGGCATACAGCTTGACAGAAGCAAATATACATGACATCTAGCCAAGATGCAATTCCATTAAAATAAAAGAACCCCACTACTTCTGAGTATAACATTTTCTGTAGTATTTATCAGTAGGAAATTGAAACATACAATCTATTTTAACTAGACAGTAAGGCTTATGATAGTCTGAGCAATGAAATACCAGGATTTGTCAGATTCTCAGGCTCAAATATAACCACTTCAAGTACCTGTAAGATAACGGGCATATTTTCATACTATATAACTGTTTTCAGGAAAAAAAAAAAAATTACTAAGGTGCTACAATACCAAAATAAAAGATACTAAACAAAATACACACCTTTTCCTGAGGAAGCCCCTTTATTTAGAATTTGTATTGCTCGCCGTATGTCCAAGTTGAAAAGTGCTACAGCAGCAGCTCGCTCCCAGTCTCCTTCCTGTTCCAATGAATTTAGAAAAGGTTCCACATCTAAGTCTGTTCCCTTCTTTATCCACCCACAAAGCTGCAAAGCCAAGGACCTCTCCTCACTCAGATACTGAATAATATCTGCCTGTCTATCAGATCCACTCCTGCTGTGCCTGAGGTTCTCTGTTGTTCCTAGAAATGGGAAATAAGTTAAATTATGCTTAAATCACAGTTTAAATTGCAATGACAACACAACACTTTGATTTCCATCATAAAGCTTAGTATCATATTTTAGAACTTTATCACCAAAAACTCCATGGTAAGTAGCAACATTCACAAAATTATTCTGATCTGCCAAAAATCATGCATCTAAACCTGACACATATCCCCCAATAAGACTTTTTTTCCATCCTCTACCTCCTAAGATTTTGGAAGTTCCTGTTACAGTTGACAGGAGTTATCAGTATGTCCAATTTGAAAATACATAATACAGCCAAGCACCTGCTTTACCAGTTCTCTTCTTAGCAAGCATCAATGTGCTTAGAAGCTTTCCCACCTCTGAAGAGTTACTTTTTGCTCCAAGGAACATAATATTAAGAGACATAATGAATAAAGAAGGAAAGATTAAAATATTAGATTATCCTAATAAAAAATTCTCTGAGCATGAGAGGCATGGGATTTTATTTAAACACAGTTATACAAACGTACTAAGTACATTCACAGTGACTATAGTGAAGAACTACACCCCTGTGTGGAACTTCAAAAAATATAACAGTTAAGTGGGGAGCAAGAATTTTCAGCGCCACAGTCAAAATCCACATATTTGAAATAGTTCAGTTGAAGATTTACCTCCAAGGATACTTTGCTTTTATTGTTACTGACTGTCCAAGAACACTGAAAATTCCAGAAATTACTGTAACCTAGACTGTTAACTTAACATGTACTAAAACACAAACAGAAATACTTTGTTTCTGTATTTTTACATACAGATATGTATGTAAATATAGCCTCTTTCAACAATTTTTAAAGGCAAACCCATGAGTGCATCATTCTGTAAGCATACTACAACAGAACTTATCAAAGTTGGAACATTCTTACCCAAAGATGACTTCACAATTGATTTAATGCCAGCATAAACTAAGGGACCTTTGTTTCCTGAAAGTTTTTGATCCATATCTTCAGTATACTGCTTCATAAGTATTTTCATGTATAGGAAGCTTAATTCTTTCCCAAGTGTTTGAAAAACTTTTTTCTTTTTTAATTTAAAGTCACATCATATTAATGCATGCAAAGTATTTACAGGATGTTGCATTACAGTTAAAGATTTTCATACATTTCATATAACTGGTTTACATATAAACGTACATTACTTCTTCAGGACTTAAAATACAGTAAAATAAAGGATATAATGCAGAGTGTACCAAAGTGATTTCAGCTGAGGATCTTCATTTCCAGCTAGGAGGTGATTTCTCCAAACTTGTTCAGTATCAAGACCATACCTTGACAGAGCTCTGAGCCGCATTTTGGTTGCTATGTCTTTTTCCAAGGAACTAGCCTTTCCTTCTTCTGTACACTCATATAAATGTCGTCCACAAGCCCACATCAAGGAGGTCACTGGACTCCACGCAAGAGAAATTCTTTCAAAAACTGTGAAGTCAGACATAGTCCTGTTGGGAGTCACTACTACCATTCGATTTTGACTTGTGGGATGCCAGGCAAATGAAGCAATGTAGTTTTCACATGGTTGGACACTTCTTTCAATTATTGTTGGCTCAGTTTCATCTCCAATAGGGGTGGGAGTATGCTGCATGTCATACAGTCTAATGATATTACTATCCCTTGTTAAAGTAGCTAGCAGTCCCGTTCTTGTTGGACACCACGCAACTTTTGTTAAGGGTTTTGGCTGCTCTGTCAAGGTCAAAACAGGCTTTTCAAACTTTCTTAAATCCCATATGGCAACCTGACCTTCATAGAAGGAAGCTACACGATCGTGGAAATAGGGATCGACAGTCACTCCCTGGACAGCCTTGGTGTTTACAAATATTTTTTGGCTTGTGTTCCTCAGATCAAAAATAGCCAGATTTCGATGCATTCCAGCTAAAAGCAGCTTCTGATCCCGTGGAAGCCAACAAAGAGAGAGGCAAGCATCGTTCTGACCTAATTCATATAGTGGCTTTGTTACTACCAGTCCTGCTTCTGCATCTCCTGATGAAAGTCTTACTTTCTCTGTAGCAACTGCAGTCTCTGGGGCATATTTGCTACTGATGTCCCAGATCAGCACTGAGAAGTCAGCCCGATGTTTATCTAACCCGGCAGCAAGCCAATTACTATCCAGTGGGTTCCATGCGAGGGTGTTGCACTGCCGTGCATGTTTGGGAACAAACTCTTTGCCTATCAAATCTTTACATTTTGAGTTGTGATCCTGACCAAGGCTAGTAAGAACCACTCGACCATTGGCCTGTCCAACAGCAAGGAGGCATTCAGGATCATACTTTGGATACCAAGCCACACATTTCATATACGGTGTATCTGAATTTATAGACAACAGCGTAGCTGTTGTTTCTTCTGATAACCGCAAGGACCCCGCCTTGAGTTCTGAACTTACAGCAGAGTCAATGTGATAAAGGCTCAATTCCGAATCGCACACAACAAATCTGTCAACGTGGTGTGGGGCCCACAGAATATCAGGTTTGGAGCCACTCATGTTTAGGGTAGGCTTACACACAATTTAAACTCTTGTAAGAAGAATCAGGTGATATCCATACATATGGAAACTGTTGAGAAAATAAAATTTATGAATGTTATCAAAACCCACATTCCTTTGTAATCTGAGATCATCTTTACACAAACAAAAGTATGGTTCTGAATGACTTGTAGCCCAGGGGCTTACACGTACAAATTCCAGGCTAAAACCTGAAGCATTCTCTGCATTACATCACTTTCCCCACAGCTCACTCGTTTTGCTGGTGTATTCCTACAGAGACAGAGCCAACAGAGCCACCTACAAGCTTGCCATCAGGATTTACTGTGTTTACAAACTCAACACGCTTATTAATGAAGACAGGATTACCTAAGATGTGATGTGGCATAATATGTGGGTGTGCTGCTGGTAGAGACACTCCCTAAAACATGCAGAAGAAAATCTCTCTGTCTAATTGAAGTGCACTATTTGACAAAAACTCGAGTCTGCCTGTTCTGTCTGAAGTCTGTTCCACAGCCTGGAAAGGCCTGCCCTCTTTAAAGATTTCTACAAAAATGCAATTTTCCACTCTTTATCTTATTCTACTGCTCCTAATCCCACCTTCAGCCCCAGCACTACCTTCTCTTCATGCACGTTTGGCCTAACAGCATTCACAAATGGGGACGGCTGTTAAAGTCCATTTACCCTTTCAGCAGCTGCGTGCCCAGAACCATCACACACGCCTATATACTAAACGACCCCTCAAACCCTACAAACATCATCTGTACCTGGAGAGAGGCACACATGCGATTGGGAAGCATGAAAAGGGAGCGGATTTACTCCTCCTGGGGCTCCTGCTGCTCACGCCCCGGCCGGGCTCCGCCGTGCCCGGAGGGGTG